ACTTATGGTAGCAGGAGGTTATGTAAAAAAGTAAAAAACAGTATATTTTTATTTTTATTTGAACTGTACGCTGAGTTTGTTGGAGAAGACCGTTGGGAAACTTGTTTGTTAGATGAGAAGTAAAACATTGCATGAAATAAAACATTTTTTAAAAAAATATTTTTTTATTTTATTTGAAATGTACGCTGAGTTTGTTGGAGAAGACCGTTGGGAAACTTGTTTGTTAGATGAGAAATATGAAATTCACTGTTGTGAGTCATTTGAAGTCAGAAACAAAAAGACAAAAAGAGTTTTAAGCGAATGGGAGCGAAATGACGGATATGCTATTATGAAGATGGGTGGAAAAAACTATTTAAAACATGTTGTCATTGCAACTCATTTTATACCGAACCCTAACAATCTACCTTTTGTAGACCATATAAACCGTATAAGAAACGACAATAGACTTGAAAACTTACGTTGGGTCACTCGTTCTGAAAACAATAAGAACAAAAGCAAATTTCGAGATATTGTATTCGAATTTGTCGACGAACTAGAAGATGAAGCAATTGAAATTACAGACTATGGCAAGCATACGTTTGAGTTTTACTACTATAGCGAAGAACAAGACTCTTTCTACTTTATACCGGCGTAACTATAGAAAATTACAAGTATGTTTTACTAAGGATGGCTATGCTTATGTAAACACTAGAGATACAGATGGAAAACACGTTCAAATACTTCTTAACAAATTCAAGAAGCTATATGGCATACCATTTTAAAAAAGTGACATTTTTTTACATATATTAAATGCTTCAGGTTGAAAAACAAAGAACAAAAGTAGCAGATACAAAACCGTTAGACTATATCTTTACAAATGCTGGTAGAACTATTTCAGATGAAGAAATTTCATCCCGAGCATACAAGTTTGACTATCCAATTCGTTGGCTTCAAAGTCCTTCAGATGCAAAGGCAATAGGATTTAGAAGAGTTTTGTTTTCAAATAGAACTAACGCATTTATGTTCGCAGTAGATTTTCATGGGCAGTATAAAGGTCCTGATGGTCTAATAGACAAATTTGACGAAATGAGAATCTTTACAATTCGTTCAGACGAAAGTCTTGAGAAAACTCTAAATGACTTTCAAACTCAAATAACAAATATTATTGGGAATTTCAAGAAAAATACGACTCTTTACTAAATGGAACATACTATCTGAAACTAGAATATGACAAGATGAACTCCACCGTTTCATTTCAAAAAATTGAAATTAACCCTCCAAGAGATACAGAGTTTTTATTTTTGGGAAGTAGACAACGTTCTTGGGCACAATTTCTTCGGTTACTAAACCAGAACGAACCATTACCACCAGATGGTCCATTTAAATTTATACTTCCACCAGCAGATTTGATGGTTTATAGAAACGTGTGTTTGACCCTCAAAATGTTATGTGTCATGCAAGTTTCAGTTCAAGCAACAGTAGTTTTCTTTGTATTGGTAAGGACTTTTATGACTTTGCTTTCTAAATTCTACGAACCACCTAGTAACAGTTTCTCTGACTTTCAAGTTTGGTTCACAACAAACGGTGTGCAGCATATTATACCATTGTACTATGACTTTTATCTCGAATTGTCTTTCATATACAACTACGGAAAAGTGCTGAAAAAGTATTGAAAAATAATGTTTAGGTGAAGAGGTGAGATTTCACCCGTTTTTCTCACCTGTTTTCTCACCTGTTTTCTCACCCGTTGAATTTTCATGAATTTTGTGCTGAATTCGACAAAAATGAGTTTTTGGTTGAAAAAAGAGGTGGAGCCAAAAGTGGCTCGACCTCAAAACAAGCATTTTGTGAAGAATATACCAACCCGCGGAAAAACAGCGGGTTGCTTTTTATACAAAATTCAACAGGTGAATTTTCATGAATTTCCTTAAGATAGAAAAAAATATATTTTAGGCGACCAGGTCACTCGGTCACTCGTCACTCGGTCAACTAACATCTTTTTGAAAAAGTGTGACAACATGACATTTTGACAACAACACAGGAAATAGATTTCATCGTATATTTTTTGTTAAGACTTCATCGTAAATGTTTTTGTTGAGACTTCATCGTATATGTTTTGTCGAGATTTTTATCGTTGTGGTCCGACGGTTAAGCCACAAACGAATGTCCGACGTCCCACCAAAAAAATATTTTTTATTTTTATTGTAAGAACAGAAATGTCAGTCGAAGCAAAAACGTTCACGAACAAATCTAATGGCGAAACATTCACAAAAGGCACTTACAACGGTATTGAAGTCTTACGTAGAGACAAGGATGGTTATATAAATGCAACAAATATGTGTCAGCAGTTTTAGGAAGGACTTTAGAAGGTTGTTGGAAAATAAGTCCTGGGAAGAGTATTTTGAGGCATTTTTGTGAAGAATATACCAACCCGCGGAAAACAGCGGGTTGCTTTTTATACAAAATTCATGCAGGAATTCCTGATGAAATCAAACAGGTTAGAGGAATGTATGTAGACCCAAGACTTGTAAACTATATAGCAATGTGGGCTTCTCCAAAATATTGCATAGCAGTTGGAAAAATTATGGACTCCATAGACAAGAAAGTTCATGAGAAATTAGATGAAGAAGAACTTGAAGATACAGTAGAGAATGCAAAACCTTTGTTCGAAGAAGAAGTTAGAAAAATGCATGAAAAACAAATAGAACATGAACGTGAGATATGTTCTGGTTATAGAGACTCGCCATACGAACTAGACCAATGGGAACAAGAAGATTTAAAGAGAGAATTTAGAGAATATGAACTCGCTAAGATAGCATTAGAAGCTGCAGAAGAGAGGTTAAAAGCTTGGGGTTGTTTTGTACAAAATATTGTGAGTAAATGAACCATTTTTTTCGACAAAAATATATTTTAGGTGAAGAGGTGAGATGTCACCCGTTTTCTCACCTGTTTTCTCACCCGTTGGATTTTCATGAATTTCCTTAAGATAAAAAATATATTTTAGTTTTTTATAAAATATTTTTTTTTATTTTTTATTGTAAGAACATGTTAGCAACAACTTCACCAAACTCGTTAGTCATGAATCCTACGTCAATGTTAGTAGAAATGAAAAGCTTCATTCCTTCTTCATATACTTTCGAAACAGAAATCCAGAAGATAAAGCAAGAACTGTTAACAAGTAATTTAGACTGTAGTGCGAAAGATGAAGAAAATGAACAGTATCTTTATGAAATGCAGGATATTATTGACCATCTACCTAAACTACCTGAAATCCAACAACAAAAACTAACTATTCCTGAATTCGACGAAATTGAAGTGAAACCAACTGACTCGGTAGAAATAAAGAAGTTCATACGAAAGGTAAATTATGAATTCCTTGGTTTTCATTGCAACCACAAAGTCATGGACAAAGACTGCGATATGGTATATAAGAACATCTCTGACATATATAAATCTGGGGAGTTTAAGACCTACGACAACTTTGTTTCGTTAGTTGCTGAATGTGTATGGCAGATAAGAGATAAAGACAGAAGGGGTAAAATATGGAACGAACAGATAAGACCAACTGCTTCAGATTTAAAGAAAACCATTGACGCCTTAGTCGTACTTGCAGGTAAGGTTTCAATGTACAATGCAAAAATGAACCCGCAATGTTCAAAATGTAAAGCAGCAATGAGGAAATATAACTACTCCGTCAAAGAGATAGAAAGAATGAGAAACGACTATGCAGATTTAAAGAAAGAAGCAGAAAAGCCAGCAGAAAATAAAATGGACATGTTAGAATTTCTGAACAAAAACTATCCAACAGCAGACGATTTCCTTCTATCTGATGTCAAGAAGAAGTATAAAGAAACTTTCGGTATCGTTAAAACATTTGACATACTAAAAGAAGAAATAGAAGCTACGAAATTGTTTAGGATTTCAAATATACATCGTACAATTCATGTAAAACGCTTGTGAAAAAAGAGGTGAGAAAAAGAGGTGAGAAAACGGGTGAAATCTCACCTCTTCACCTAAAATATATTTTTGGGTCATTTACGCTCATTACGAAGAAGTCTTGACAAAACATTTACGATGAAATCATGAAAATTCATGTACGAAGAAGTCTTGACAAAACATGTACGATGAAATCATGAAAATTCATGAGGTGAAAAATTAGGTGAAAAAACAGGTGAAATCTCACCTCTTCACCTAAAATATATTTTTTATTGAATTCAGCAACAAAAATCTGAGTAAAATGGCATATGCTTGCTTCCCTCGGAAAACCGAGAGAAGGGATTCCGTATGAAATTCATGAATTTCCTTAAGATAGAAAAAATAAAGTTATTTTTATTTTTTTTATTTTTTTTATTTTGTATGTAAGAACAGATAATGTCAAACAATGAGTTTGAAACAGTTAGAAAGATAGACAATGACACCAAAGTGGTTAGAATTGGTGATTTAAACGTAAGATACTCAAAGAAATACAACAAATATCTTTGTCAGACATTATATCTCCATCTGGAAAGAAAACAAACGACTGGGTTAAAATTGCTTCAACTCAGAAAATTTTGACAAGAAATCCTGAGCTTATAATATCGGTAAGATTCTATGGAACTACAGCATATCTCATTGACAAAAGTCTTATACCAATAGTTTTGTTATGGTTAGACCCAGTTGTTGGATATAACTTCATAACATATGGTTCATTCGATACGGAACGTTGCAGTGAAGGCTTACTTTACATCGTTCAGAAACCGAAGGACTTCAACACAAAAAGATATAAGATAGGAAGAACATATAATATAACTCAAAGATATGACAATACAGTCAATAGAGTCAGGGTTGTGTTTGTAAATGATATGAGAGCTGCTGAAACAGAACTACTTGAAAAGTTTGAGAAAATATATGGTGCTCCCACGAAAGGTAAGGAAACGTTTGAAGTAGATGAGATAGATAAAGCTATAAAATTATTTGACGAAGTTGCTGAAAAATACATGTAAAGCGTTTATTTTTGGTCTTTTGTGAAAGTCAAAGACGATATGTACCAAATGCAAAGTATTTTGAATGCTCTTCGTTCTACAAAGCAAGCACGTCATTGGTTTGAAAACCAACAGACAAAAGAACTTTTGAGTGAAATTTCTCTAGACCGGTTTTTTTCGGTCTTGCCTAAAACTCATGAAAACAGTGAAGAACAGCGAGTAGGTAAAAAAACGGTCTTGCCTAAAACACATGAAAACAGTGAAGAACAGCGAGTAGGTAAAAAACCCCAGTCGCCAAAACTCTATGAAAATCGTAAAAATTTGCCAAATGGTTTGAGAGGATATTATGTACATAGACTTCTTGTAAATGCTGTTGCAATGTGGGCTTCGCCTCTTCACCTAAACATTATTTTTATTGAATTCAGCAACAAAAATCATGAATTTCCTTAAGATAGAAAAAATAAAGTTAGTTTTATTTTTATTTATTTTTTTATTTTGTATGTAAAGACAGATATGTCAACAACAGAGAACACAACAACAGTTATAGTCCATGAAGCTATAAATGAAGAATATGAGTGGGTTCAGTTTAACAAACAACTCCGTCTCATTCGTTCGGTCAAAGACGATATGTACCAAATGCAAAGTATTTTGACTGCTCTTCGTTCTACAAAGCAAGCACGTCATTGGTTTGAAAACCAACAGACAAAAGAACTTTTAGAAGAATTTCCTCATATGTTTGCGACCGGTAGAAAACCGCGGGTCGAGATTCCGTACGAAAATCGTGAAAAATTGCCAAACGGTTTGAGAGGATATTATGTACATAGACTTTTAGTAAATGCTGTTGCAATGTGGGCTTCACCCCGTTATGCTTGGTATGTTTGTAAACTTCTTGACGAAATTCATAGACAAGAACGTGAAGAGCTAGAGAACAAGCTTGAAGCAAAAGATAAAAGCATACAGAAAAGAATACCGCGTTCAGTACCAAAAGGAAAGGAAAAGAACTATAAGTATATGATTTATACTGAAGAGATGGAAAATGAAGAAGACAGAGATATGGTTATGTTGCATTTAGTCAGAAGAAACAACAAAAGCTTTTACGACCTTGCTAAGATTTACAAACCTGACAGAAATTGGTTCTATCGCGAAAACTTACCGATTTCAATGACCCCAAATGAAGATGTGAAACAAATAGTTCAAGATACGTTACCTCAAACACACTATGATATGAAAGGTTGTACAATACTGACCTTCAAAGAAGATTTGCCATTGTTAAAGGAAAAAATAACAGAGTATTTTGACAACTTCAAACAAGCAGAGTAAATGAACTCTTTATTTTTCAAGCTTGACTTCAATGGCTCAGGTAGCTCTATAAGGTAAATTGTCTTGTCCGAGTCCTTCTGGCATTCCAAGTTCTTCCTTCCGACAGGAAAAAAATTTCCAGTTGTCGGGAAAAAGTTCTTCCTTCCGACAGAAAAAAAATTTCCAGTTGTCGGGAAAAATTTTTCCAGTTGTCGGGAAAAAATTTTCCAGTTGTCCGTCCGTAAACCATTCAAATTTTCGAAAATTGAGAACTTTTTGGTCGACCTTCAGAAAAAGTTCTTCCTTCCGACAGGAAAAGTTCTTCCTTCCGACAGGACACAAACGGATGACTGACGTTCCTCTTCCTGAATGCCTTCCAAAGCCAGAAGAACCGACAGCCCCAGCACCACAACAGACTTACTAAGACTAAACATTTATTTTTCAAGCTTGACTTTTTACAATTTGAACTTTGTTTGCGTAGATATGAATTCTGAAAGAAGTATGAGGGTCTTGTATGACTTTGTACCTCTCCCATAGTTCATATCTGTCAAACTTACCTGCCATGGACTCTTTCATAAGTTCCATGAAATCGTCTTGTGCCAATCCAGGGAAAAGTATAATATCAGTAAGTATTCTCTTTACATCCTTACTTAAACTCTTGGCTGTCTGTACACATATTACGACTGAGATGTTAAAGTGTCTGAGCTTCTTAAGAATTCGACACATGTCTTGTTCTCTGTTCTTTAACAAAGGATGAGAAGCAAAGTCATCTAAGATAAGAAGACATCTATGAGGGTAAGTCTTCCAATCGTAAGATTGCAATTTCTTCGAAATGTATTCTATCTCTTTCTGTTTGTTTCTGAAGTGTTTCTTCTCTAATATTCTCTGCATTTCCTCATTAGGGTCTTTGAACTTAGAATTTATATACTCATTTATAGCATTATATTTCAAAACTCTTCTTTGGTACTTCTTTATCCAATCTAACAACTCAGTATCCTTTATACATACTAACTTAGACTTCTTATAATATCTTTGAACGAATTGACGGTTTGGTCAAATTGACCAGAAGTACTACAAATAACAACTAACTCATAGAATGGGTTCTTCTCATCTAGTTCTTGTTGTTGTGCAGCCATTTTAAGATAAGTGAAAAGTCTTACCCGACCCAGGCGGTGCAATTAGACCTTATCCTAGCAAATAAGAACTTGTCATGTATAGGCTTTATCTGAGCATTTTCTAACTTCCTCTTTTCTTGTTTAAAACATTCTCAATTTCTTGTCAATGTCAGCAAACTTTTTTTCTAACATATTTTAGAAAAATTAAAATTTTTATCTTTTTGAAAATGTCTAGCGATTTCGCCATCTATATTCGAGACAAACTTTTTGACAGTAAAACATCTGTCGACCATAAAATCTTACATAGTGTAAACAAGAAAGGTGAATTTGTTTCTAAAAGTTCTGTTTCTGGGAATATGACAAGAACCATAAACATTAAGCAGAGCAGTCTTAAATTTGTCAATGACAGACTTGTTGACAGAGATGACGCCTCTTGAAAGATGAAGTCCAACAAAAGTTCTTAGAATGCAAAGAAGACACATGCGCTGTTCTTGAAGATGAAATAGAAAACAGAATAGATGAGCTATTAAAGGACAAAGAACTTTACATAGATATGGTTCTTGAGAAATTTGACGTCTCACCACCAGAAAAGAAGAAGAAAGGAAAGAAAGAGAAAAAAAGTAGAAGAGAAGAAAGAACCTGAACCAAGCCAGAGAAGGTGAGATTGACATGTAAAATAAAATTTTATTTTTAGAACATTTCTGGTCAATGTCAATGTTCTCTTCCTCTTTAGGAGCAAACACTGGCTTAGACTCTAAAATCTTTTTACCCAATTTACCTTGAACTTCAACTATCTTAGACTCATAATATTCATAGTCGTCTGCCTTCTTTGGTTCATAAGGTATAACAAGTTTGTATGCTTTACCTTCTTCAAGTTTTGAGAACTTTCTGTCAAAATTTTCTTTGACTGTTAACAAACCTTCTATGTCTAAGTCTTCAAATTTCGCACCATTTTTAGTCACAACAGCAAACTTAACTGGTTCGATGTTCCAAACTTTGCTGAATGAAGACTTTTCAAAATGGTAGAAGTAAACATTCAAATATGTGAATGGAGCTAACTTATCTTTGACTTCTGTCATGTACTTATTTACTGAGATGAATTTTGCCATCTTTTCTTCAGAATAAAAAAATATTTTTTTTAAAATTTACTCAGAAAAAATTTTCTTTGTATATACACCATTCTGTACGTCTAAAAGATTTTTGACGTTTGCCAAGAATGTACGTTTAGAAGCTGGCATATAACCATACTCTTGACAATATTGTTTATATTCATCATATAAAGACCTTTCATCTAAACACTCAAAGTTAGTCTCATCTATGAACAGTTCATATACACTCTTGTTTGCTTCTAACAATGTTTGTCTCTCTTCGGTATGTGGAATTTGTCTTGGATTGAACTTTGAAATATCTAATGTCATAAAATATGAGAACAAGTGGTTGTAAAAGTCAGATGTCAAAGTTTCTGCTAAGTCGTCAAAATATTCTGTATCTTGCATATGAGCTTCTGACGTTCTGACAACTACATATCTTCTGTCAGAACTTTCTAACTTCATCGGAACAGCATTGTTTGAAACCATAATGAAATTTGCAACATTTTCACAAACTCTTTGGTCTTTATATTTTCTTTCAACAACTCCAACTTTGTCTGTTATAAGACTCTTCAAAGCATCTGAGTTCAAAACTTTTGTTGTATCTATACTTTGAAGTTCATTGCAAACTATAAGTTTCATATTCTCAATAGAAGAGTTAAATTTACCGCAGATGTTTTCTAAGTTTGTCATATTCGGGTTCGAATAACCTTCTAACAGTTTGCACAAAATATCTGTAAAGAATGTGTTCTTACCAGTTCCTTGTTTTCCAATTATAATGAGAGCAGTTTCATTTTTAGCACTTGGATGTTGTAAGATGTTTGCAAACCAACATAAGATATACTCATAAACCTTTTCGTTTCCATTGCATATAATTTCTTTGACATGGTCTAACCAAGCTTCTATAATATTTTCTTTCCATTCTACTTGTTCGTATTTATATCCAGTGAAGATAGAATAGAAGTTTGGAGAAGGTGTATAGAACTTATATACCTCGAACTGAAAAATCTTCTAACTTTGACAATAAGATATCCCAAGCATCTAACATCTTCATGCCAACTTGTACAACTTTTATTTTCTTAAGTTTCTGTCTACATTCTTGTTCAGACACTATTGTTGCTCTTGGTTTGTTAAAGACAACATCCCATTCTTTCATGACATAACATTCTGGGGCAGAGTCAACATAAATGACTAAACGTTTCAAATTCTCGACTGCTTTGTTATAGTCTCTAAATGGACAACATATTTCTGAATGCTTGGAAGTCATAAAAATCTGAAACATCTATTCTGTACATTTTTATAAAAATAAAAAAAATATTTTTTTTTTCTTGACTTGTTGTTGCATTTGTTGCATTTGTTGTTCTTGAGCTATTTGTTGTTGAAGTTGTTCTTGTAATACAATACTTTCACCAGTTGCATCTTCCAATTCGAAACTTTCTGCCGTCATTGACAAATACATAGGACATAAAAGTTTTACAGGAACAAAGTTTGCGTCACTAATGTCAACGTTATACTTGCCAAAGTGTTTGAGTTCACTAAGGTTGAAAATTCTGCATTCGAATGAACAATAGGCAAACCAGCAGAGAAAGTATTGTTTATACGCATAAGTATCTTTGGTCATAATAGTTTCTGTCAACATTCGAATAACACTTTGAACCTAAGTTTGAAACAATATATAAGATTGGTGTGCTTAATGTCAATGGAATAGACATTCCTTGTATGACACCTTTTCCTGTTATAGGAAACTGTTGGTAGTAAAACCAGAAATAAGTTTTGTATTATAGCTCATATCGTTTATAGTAAACTCAGTCGGACATCCAAACATAATGAAACCTGCTCTAGTTGCAGCACATGTTACACTCGTCCTTAAAGTATTAAATAAGTCAACAAAACCTGTTGGTGGTATATCTGAGTAAGTATCTTCAAAGGAGTATTTTTTACCATTCACAACAATAAAATCTTCTGGTGTCAAAAGAGCAAAACAGGCTTTAGTCGTCATTGTGTTTAAAGTTAGTTTACAATATCGTCCTTGAGGACTTTGTAAGTTTGTTGTTATAGAATTATATGACTCAGGGTTTTTAGTCGTAATAGTATAAACCATTGTGTCTTCTGCCATTTACATATATTTAAAAGTTTTTCTGAAAGTGGAGAAGAACTTCATCTAAACTTTCACATGGCGTTTCTTGAAGTTCTCTGTCTAAGAAGTTCAAATATTTTGTAAAAGACATAGAACTTTCCTTTGTCTACACGAACAAACAAAACAGGGTCTTTCATATCGTTCAAAAGTGTGTAAAGTCCTTTACATGAAATAAAGTCTATATTATTTTTCTTCAAACATCTTTCAAGAAGTTTTGACATTTTTACTTAGCAAATAAATTTTAATGAAATGTTGTGGTCGTCAAATATTTTTATAACGTCTGGGAAACTATATTTTAAGTTCAACGTTTCACCTCCTTTCATAACGTATATCTTGTCAATGACATTATATGAAACACCACAGCAACTAACGTCGGGTTCTATTTCTTTGATGTTTATATCGTCTGCCTCTGTCAAAAGTTTCAATAGTTCTTTCAAAACTTCATGAGGTGCGATGACATATGAGTTCACTTTTACAGGGTTGTGTTCGACCAAGTTTAACATTATACCTAAAGCTTGACAAATCTTCTCCTGAGTTTGAAGTTTGTCTTTCAGTTGTTGTTGTAGTCGTTTCGAATATCTGCAACAGAACTTAAGTCTCTGTTAACTTCAGGATATGTTGGTTCTTTTACAGGAACAATTGTTATACCATCTTCGTCCTCGTATGGTTTCCCCACTTCAACATCTCTTTCTTTGACATTGACAACAACACTTTGACTGTTTGTTTGAGTTGGTGAATTTAACTTCACATCTGCCACCGCCATTAAACCTTTTGAAACACTTACGCTTCTATTTTTCGGAAATGACATTTTACTTAGAATAAAAAGATGGACGTATTCGGATATCTCTTCGAATTGAAGCAGAACAAAGTTTACACACACAAACAATACAAATACATTGACAGAATAGTTCTTTATACAAACAATGGTAAATGTTATAGAATAGCAGTCTTTGCTGAACCAAAATATTTTCATAAAGCAAAGAAAGTTGGTATAACTGAAATGGTGAAAGTTCTTGAAGCAGACAAAAATATAACAACAAAACTTACAGATATTTCTAAAGGTAAGTTTATAATACAATTTTATGTCAAAACTGGCGTACTGTCAATATTTGACGGAGAGAAGTCAGTTCAAGAACAACTTACTGACCTGCTGCCAAAATCTGCTCGATGGAAGCTGTCGTTATACCAATCTGAGGAGCCCCAGCAGGTTTCATCGAACGAATCTTCAAAAGAGCATCTTCCGTGAAAAGTGCTATTGGTTTTGTAAACTTCTTTGCTTTCAATTCATCTGGACCGTCTCTGTCACCAGTATATTGTATTTGTACAGTACCAACAGTTGAAATACCACCCATAAAGTCTTCTGAGTCAGCAAATGGAATGCCAAGCCAAAAGTTTGAACGGTCTCCATTTGTATATTGAGTTTTTTGACTTCCTGTATGGGTCCATACTTTCACATATGGCATAATAGAACTTTGCATTTCAGGGTTAATGGTTGTTGTGAAGTTGTTGTTAAAGTTCATAGCATCTAATGTCAAGTTGTATGACCTCATATCCTCAACTGTAGAATATTCTTCTCTTGGATAATATTTGCCATCTATGTTTATATGATATTTAATACCAGGGTTGTAGAAACAAGAATAGTCATTTATAGTTCGTCTGAACAGTACAAACATAGTATCTGCGTGTTTCATTGCAGTTGTTAAAGCAATATCTGTTCTTGCACCTGGGTCAGCACTTTGGTTTCCAACTTCACCTGCAAAGTCTTTGACAGATATTTGGTGTATAGGGAACATAAGTGGAACTGCAATATATTTGGCAGCTAAAGCATTTGAAATATCTGGGTCCAACATATAGACTGCAAGTCTGCTTTCTATTCTCTTGCATTCAAACTTTTCGCATGTGAACTTAACTGGGTCCCAAGCATCTCCAGCAGCATTGAAATAATAGTTTACTTCAGTGTTGAGGTTTGAGAAACCAAAGTCTAAGTCAACTTTGTCTTTGCAAAAGTCGGCGAATGACGTTTTATTTGTTCCCACTACTTCTGTAAGAGTGAATGGGTCTTGTGTTGGTGCAATGACTAAGTTATTTTTGCTTGGAGTAAGTTCGATAGAAATTTTTCCTGCCCAGTTTGGCAAGTATCTTAAAAACCTGAAGATGAGGAAAGATGACAAAGGAACTCTAAGTTTCAGTTTTACTTTAGTGACAGCATTTCCATCTGAACCAGAAAGGTTAACATAAACTCCTGGAACGTTAGGGTCAAGTCTTCTTATTTTCTCAATAGTTGCATACTGGTCTGTTTGTTCTCTAGCTTGTGGTTGTACTGAGTTTCTTAAAGCGAACCATTCATAGTTTGCCCATGTTACTGTTTGAACTAAGTCAGAGTTAGAATATATCTTATATCCCATGAAAACTTCTGGAGCATATTGGTATCCGACATAGAAAATTCCATTGCAACCTTTCTTGTCAGACAACTTGGCAGAAGGTTTTATTTCAATGTCTTGTTCCACGTATAAGAATGAGTTGTCAATAGAAATAATATGAAACCTGTCGCAAGCAATATCTACTGTTGTTGAAGAACCTTCTCCAAACTCACCTACGTTTCCATAAGAAACAGCAGTTGTATATTCGTAAGTTCCAGGAACTATTTCTGACCTTCTAATGGCATTGTCGCATTCGTTATACCATTCGGAAACATTTCCGTTCATGGCATCCAAAACTGTTGGCGTTATATTCTGAGCGGCGTACATTTCATATGGGTAAAAATATAGAATAGTTGGATTTATATGTCATAATAAAACCCACCTGGCACAAGCTTTACTTTCTTCCTGGCTGAGTTTTTAACTCTTCTTTTTCCTTCATTGCCACTACTTTCACTTTGTTCTTCACTATTTTCACTTTGTTCTACTCTTCTCTTCTTCTTTGGTAACTTGCCCTCTGCTTCAAGTTGTTGCATCGCATCATGTTCACCTAGTATGTTGTAAATTTCCCATGTCCTTTTTGCCTTTGGGCTCTGGTCGCCCATCTCAGGTAACCTATATCCTAGAAAGATTTTGTCATAGTTTGTATTTGAGTCTTCCTTTATTGTTTGCATGACTCTTTCCTGAGTTTCAGGTTCAAGCTCTTCAAACAGAGCTTGTCCATATGGAATAAGCTCGTTTCCAAATATATGTTTTTGTAGCCATTCTGGTTTTCTTTCCATGTAACCAATAATATCTTTTGTGAATGGGAAAGCTTTTACCCAATGTTCCAGTCTTGCGTCATTTATTTCTGTAGTTGGTTTTATTTTGTCAAGGAACATGTTTTTCAATACTAACATTTCATTTGGTACTGTCCATTTGAGTTTTCTTAAATATTCATCCCTTCTCGGTTCATTGTCTGCAAAGTAAGTTTTTATGATATTTTGCAAACTTTCGTTTGCAAGGTCATGTACAATAGGTTCTCTTCCTTCTCTGTCCCTAACTCTCTTTCTAAACTCTTCACCAAATATACCATCTCTATGGTTCTGTGTAGTTCTTTGAGATAAATGTTTTAGAACGTCAGGTGTTATATTTCCTTCAGCCATGTTCATTTCATACTGGTCCAAAATATCTGCATCTTTCATATCTTTCAATGGCATTAAAGCCGCGCTGAAAATACCAGCTATATCTGGTTCACCATTCACTTCCATTGCGTCTACAACTTCTTGGAATTGAGGTTGTAAGTTTATGAACCACCTATCCGAATTAGCTTTATGACCCCATCTCATTGTAGTTCCATAGTCTGCAGAAACAAAAGTAGGTTTGTTTCCATATTGGTTAGGTTCTGAATGAACTTTAAACAATGTTTCATTTCTATATGTTTTGTTGAAATTTAACCTTTTATTTTCACCGAGTTCAGCCAAAGATTGAACGTTATATGGTCGTAAGTAAAAAGGGTTGTTGTATTTGTGTACATTTTCTTTCAGTACTTCCATTCTATGCTGAATATTTTCATCTGGTGTTGGAGTCTTTTGTATGTCGGCAAACATTTTTCGATATTCTTCTACTATGTCAGCCGAATTTTTTTTAGACTCTTGGAAAGATTCCATATTCACCTCATACTCTTGTTGAGGGTCAAGATTTTTCGGCTGTTCCAAATCTTCATCTAGTTCTGTGAAGTTAGTTTCCAAAGGAGGGACTTGTTCGTTTCCTTCAGGCTCTTCTAGCTGTTGTTGCTGAACTATTTCTTCCATGTCTGGTTGTATCTGAACTAGTTCTTCCTGTGGAGTTTCTTGTACCTCATCTGCTGGCATTTCATATATTCCGAGACCGTTTTCAACAATTTCCCTATCTACGTCATCCGCATTCATAAGCTTTTGTTCTTTCGTTCCGTCTCTATTTTTTACGCGTTTCATGACGAAAGTTGAATTGTCATTTAGCTCTGACATCAAATATCTCGGAGTAAATTCATCCATGTCATTTGGATGATATGCTATTAAATCATATCCCTTAGCGAGCTTGTATTTTCCAGGTTTGAGATTATATCCGTTTTGGTGCTGAGCCATAAAGCTAAATAGGTCCGGGTCAGTATTTCCATCCTTGAACTTTCTAATAGCTTCTTTATATCTGTCACTAAAGTCAATACTATCTGGGAAACCACACTCTTCTTTAAGCATTTTTAAGAATTCTTGGTTTCCTTGTTCTCTACTTCTTTTATGTCCTTGCTCTGTTTGTGGTTGTTGTTGTGCAGGGTTTTGAACTGTTGGTTGCTGTGCTGGTTGTTGTGTTGGTTGTTGTGCTGGTTGTGTTGGTTGTTGTGCTGGATTTTGAACTGTTGGTTTTGGTGCATGCCTGTGTCTGTGTCCATGTGACGATGTAAATGTTTTAGGTAGTCCTGGTGCAGGTGCTTCTCTTGGAGGGTTTGGTGGTATATAAGTTCCACCAGCTGGCACATATGTTCCATCTGCAGCGTAATGTCCTACCTGACTTTTCGTTCTTAAGAAAGCATTTACTAGGTCTGTTTTGGTCTGTTGTAACTCTTTTTCTTGACTTTCCACAACAGTTGCTCTAACGGCGTCATAGGCACTTTGAACTGCCTGTCTCGTTGCTGCATCTGTTATTTTCGTCATATTTTGTGCTACTTCTCTTAACTCTTTGTCGAAACCTTCAGACTTCAGTTTCTTTCCAGATGAGAAGTCGTTCACTTGTTTCACCTTACTATGAAGAGCTTCGAAGGCGTTCTTAAAGTCAGCATTCATTAAAGCTTCATTTGAACTGTCTTCATCCGCTTGTATTTTTGTCCTTATTGACCCTATAAGCTGGGCTGCTTTAGCGTTGGCTTGGGCATCTAACCAGTCATTATTAGCTTTTATATATTCTGCGCTTTTCATTGCCTTTTGCATAGCCGCGTCGTTATTTTTACTTTCTTGTGCTAAGTTTTCATACTGTACGGTTTGGTTTTGCAACTGTAAAAGTTTTTCTGCCTTTACATTTGCTTCAACTTCTTTTTTATACTCATCGCTATCCATATATGTCTTCAGGGCTTTTTGTTTTATCTCTTCATCTTTCAGTACTTTATATTGAGTAGTATGGTTTTTCAAATTTATAACATCTTGTTCCATTTTTGCTACTTCTGCTGCTTTTTCTGACACTTTTTTCGCATATTCCTCTGTACTTAGTTCTTTCAGTTGTTCTTCTTTCTTCTTTTTCTCTACGTTTAACTCATTGAGTTTCTGTGTGTCTGTCATATTCTAGTTTCTTTTCGTTTTCACTTATTTGTTTCTGTATGTCTATGTTTGACTTTTTGACATCTGTTATTTGATTTTTGAGTGAACTCAAATTCATTTGACTTTGAGGGTTATAGGCTGTTCCGTCTGCAGCTCCACCATAGCCTGCCATTTTCGCTAAAAGTGCCGCTCTTAAACCTCCACTCTGTGCACCAAAAACTCGGTTTAAAAGCATAGGATTGCTTGACATTTGTTGCAACATAGTGGGGTCATTCATTATTTGTTGTTGCAACTGTTGTTGTGGTGTCAGTTTTACTATTGGATGTTTCAATGCTCTCTTCCTCTTACGTATATTCTTACGTAGCTTACGTGGCATTTTAAGTGAAGTAAAAAACATTTACGATGAAGAAGTTTCGACAAAGCATTTACGATGAAATCATGAAAATTCAAGAGGTGAGAAAACAGGTGAGAAAACGGGTGACATCTCACCTCTTCACCTAAATTATATTTTTGGGTCATTTACGCTCATTACGAAGAAGTCTTGACAAAACATTTACGAAGAAGTCTTGACAAAACATTTACGAAGAAGTCTTGACAAAACATTTACGATGAAATCAGAAAATTCAAGAGGTGAGAAAACAGGTGAGAAAACGGGTGACATCTCACCTCTTCACCTAAATTATATTTTTGGGTCATTTACGCTCATTACGAAGAAGTCTTGACAAAACATTTACGAAGAAGTCTTGACAAAACATTTACGAAGAAGTCTTGACAAAACATTTACGATGAAATCATGAAAATTCAAGAGGTGAGAAAAACAGGTGAGAAAACGGGTGACATCTCACCTCTTCACCTAAATTATATTTTTGGGTCATTTACGCTCATTACGAAGAAGTCTTGACAAAACATTTACGAAGAAGTCTTGACAAAACATTTACGAAGAAGTCTTGACAAAACATTTACGATGAAATCATGAAAATTCAAGAGGTGAGAAAACAGGTGAGAAAACGGGTGACATCTCACCTCTTCACCTAAATTATATTTTTGGGTCATTTACGCTCATTACGAAGAAGTCTTGACAAAACATTTACGAAGAAGTCTTGACAAAACATGAAAACATATATAATTTGTGAAAAGCGACACATTATATAATGTTTTCGACCCAGAAGACTAACAATTTTCCGAATAAAAACTTCATTTATACTAAACATCTTCAGGGCTAGAAGGCACGAAGTGCCTGGAAGCCCCACTTCCTTTTTTTTTTTTTTTTTTTTTTTTTTTTTTTTCAATTAAAAAACATTAATTAAAAATAGAAGGTGAAAGTGTTTATTCAAAGAAGGTGCAAGATTATGATGTTTTGAGGGTGAAATAAATTTAATAATTATTTATGTGATTTAAGAGTAATACGATCATCGGTAGCTTGAAGACCTCTCTTTATAGCTCTTAATGCCGCAAACTTTTTTTGAACTTGCTTTGAATTTTTGAATGCTTTGATTAAATCTTTCGTTGTATCATACATTCTGAAATATCTGTTCATCATTTCTGGCATTGTTGGTAAATTTAACCTGTATCTTATTGCTACAATCGTTTCAAACATACTTTCATTGAAATGCAATATTGTGACTGCCATCCTAATTGGCCAAGAAGCATGCCAATTAATATTTTTATTAGCAAGCATTGCTTTGATATGGTTTATCGATTCAACTACTTGAATTGAATGAATCTTTTTTACCATATCAAAGATTTTTACGGTATCTTCGAGGAATTTTTTAAGTGTTTTTATAGCAGTTTTATTTTTTGCATATTTCCATGGTTTAATCATCTTGCATTTTTCAGGATCTGGACAAAATTTATGATTTCCGGCATAATGTTTAGCGGAATTCAACCATAAAAACTTCTTTGTTTTAATTGACATATGTGTGTCATTGAGAAGTTGCCTAAGCCAACGCAATAAATTCTTTGAAATGCTAGATAAGATTCTGAATTCTGGCAGTTTGAGCTTTTTCTGTATATTGTTAAGAAAATGTCCAGGATCTCTGTATTCTCTGATACCTTTGAACGTATTTTTGATTGTAGAAACAATTTTGACATCGCCATCATGCACAAAAAAATTTACACGTTTTTCATTATTCCAACGCTTCAGCATTCTTTTTAAGCCTTCAAATTCCATTTCATTTGATTTTCCGTTGAAATTACCTTTGAAATTTTTAAAAGATTTAGATATCACTTCCCAATCTACAATTTTTTTGAGTTTCTCTTCTACAAATTGTACATAGCAAAACATTGCATTTCTTCTCTGACTCCAAGAACCGTCAAACAAAAGTCCCGAACATTTTCTCATTCGAGATTTCCAATAATTAACAGATTCTCTGGCAACTTCTATGATAACACGACCAACCTTTTCTTGGACTCGATGAAATGTAGCTTCTGACGGAACTTTGATGTTATTCAGCATGAATTGAAATTCTGATTGGCAAAATGTAGCGCCGCTCAATAATACAGATAGCACAAATTCAACAGTGTTGACGACATATGGCTCTACCCTATTTTTCGCGCTTTGAACTAAGTTCTTTATACGCTTTGCAACTGCTTTTGTTCGCCGCGGCATGAAAAATGAAGAATAACTTGACGGTTTCTTGAACAAATGGTCGCACATTCAAATATTGTGATGTACGATCAGGATAAAAGAATGTTGTTGCCGTGAATTTAGAAAATAGCAAAATTTCAATTTACGCAATCGAGATATAACTTGATCGTTTGAGCGATAACCATGGCACCCATAGTATTAATGAAAGTACTCATACTTACAATTATTTTCTCCCATAGGAATATTGTTCAATATACTTCACCTATAGAGGAAATCTCGAAATAAAATCGAATTTTTTCAAAAATTACAAAAATCAATTTTTTACAAAGATGTTCGAAAAATAACATTATATACGCATCAAATCAAAGCATTATATGGAGCATTATAATTCTATATATGATTGTCCATCTTGCTGTTGTGCTATTTTTTTTAAACAATAATTTCATTGTTGAAATTAAATTTGCAATTTCAGTAAAAATTGCGACCCATCATTTTGAATATAATTGAATTAATACATTTATTGTAAGAATATTATATACCAAATATTAGACTTCCACATGAATCCTGGTATGATATTATAAGTATTGCAAAATTAGAAAAAAATATGCTCATGATATACTAAAATTCATGTTTCAAGGTTAACTTATAAATAAAATAAGTTCGAGAAATGCATCACTAAATATTTGAGCTTGTGCACTATAATGCTATATAATAGTCTTCACTGTTTTTAATATATTGACTTTGCTAGACTTGATTTTTTTCATCACCCTAATGAGTGCCCATCCTTAAAACTGACAATAAACCCTATAACAGATGAGTTTCTATTTCAAGACAATAAGAACAATACTGTCTGTATAAATCCAACAAAAGGAACTTTAAACGAGAAACCTATAAATGAACTTCTTTTGAAAGCAGATGTTGACAACAAAGCTGACAAAGAATATGTAGACGATGCAATAGCAAAAGAAGAAGAAAGAGCTAACAATGCTTATGCAACAAAAGAACATACTCATCCTGAACTAGCAGACAAAACATATGTTGACAATAAAATGTCAAGTGAAGTGACAAGAGCTGAAAACGAATATTCTAAAAAGACTCATATACATTATATTAACCAAATACCAAGTCTTAAGGAAACATTAGAGACAAAAGCAGATAAGACTCATACACATTCTATATCTGATATTACAAACTTACAAGAAACCTTAAACAGGAAAAGTGACGTTGGACATACACATACCATTGCAAATATTACAAACTTACAAGAAACCTTAAACAGGAAAAGTGCCGTTGGACATACACATTCTATATCTGATATTACAAACTTACAAGAAACCTTAAACAGGAAAAGTGACGTTGGACATACACATACATCTTCTGAAATAACAGACTTAAACGTTAGCCTTGAAAATAAAGCAGATAAAACATATGTCAATGAAATATACCAAAGTTTGATAGGAACAAAAAATATTGAAACTATTGTTGGTGACTTTTCTGTCAATGAAGAAAATAAATATTTTAGATGGCAGTTGGTACAGTCCTTAGAAAATGGTACACGGTATAAACTCATTCCGAAAAATAACAATGAAATGTATGTAAGCTATAAAAAGAATGATGGTACACAAGTTAAAGTTCCATTAGACAACAACTGCTACTTAAACTTATATGGAGACGAACAAAAGAAATATTTAAGAGTTTATGAAATGGTGGATATGACATTGCCTGACCCAGCTCCAGCACCACATTATTATGACTATGGAGATGACGACAGAACACCACATGTAGATGAACAAAAGCTAACATTATATTTAGATTATTATAGATATAAAAGATATAATGCAATAGAAAAAACGAGAATAGTATATTATTATACAGATGACAGAAATAAATATTATAGTCAAGACTTTACCTACCCTGAAAACATAAGATTATATTATAAAAAATATTCTGACACAAACCAGAAGAAACCTGAAATAGTTGCACTATATTTTAAGTTCAAAAGAGACAATCCTATAATATCTCATATGTTTGATTTAATGAACCCAGTAGGTTCTATTTATACATCTATGGAAGCAAGAGGTCCTCAAGTAATGTTTGGTGTTGGTGCATGGGAACAAATAGTCGACAGGTTTTTGTATTGTGCAAACTCTTCAAAGGAAACAGGTGGAAGTAAAACGATTTCAGGTGAAAATTTACCTGCACACAGTCACTACATAGATTTAAGTACATCTCAAGCAGGTTGGCATAAGCATAGATATTGGGATTGGTCAGGAATGACAAAAGGTAAAGGATATGATGTTAAAGACGACGTTAAGTTTGCTATAAATTGTTACTGGGATGACACGCAGGGAGAAGGAAACCATACACATTTCGTTTCAGGATATACGCAAACAACGGGACAAAGTAAAGAATACATGCCACCTTACATGACAGTTTACGCATGGTATAGAATTGCTTAGTCGTCATTTTCAACTTCTTTAGCATATTCGTCAGGAGTTGTCTTATATTTGTTAGGAACTGTCTTTGAAAGTATACCACCTTGAACTTTGACAAGTTTGAAACGAGGTCTGGCAATAGTAGTTTTATCTTCTGCTTGCAGTGTGTACATTTTGCCATGTTTGCCTAAAACTTCATAATATTCTCTTGTATACTTTCTTCTATTTTTACGAACACGAATGTGAGTACCTGTCGGGTTCCCATTGTTGTCATAGTCAATAGTATTTTCATATGGGTCGCGTTAGGTATTTCTATTTTTACTTTGTCACCTTTCTGAAGTTTGAAGCCCGGCATTCTTTCTTGTTTGTCTCTTTTGACTAAATTATTAAATATATAGTCTTTCTCTAAGTCAGGGTTGTTTTTCATTTCTTCGGGGAGTGGTTTCCCAAACCTTTTTGTTTACGGTTATTGTAAATATTTAAAACTTGTCTCATCTTTGCCATGGAGAAGTGTCTATATTTGTCGTCATATGACATTTCATTTGCTTCACCACCTTGTGGTTGGTTTAAGTCTCTTAACATTTTTATACAACCGTCAATGACACCAAGAGCAGAATGGTTTTGGTCGACAATGAAATATTGGTTTACATTTTTTGAACGCAGATAGTTTTTTACATCATCTGATTTGAAAGAACTTTCACAGTCAGATGTCAGTTTTGTTGGATGGTATTTGTCAACGAATATTGTCAAAGCAGTTTTCACATCTAAAATATTTTTGGACCATAATGGTATGGCTTCACAGTATCTTGTGTTTTGACCAACAAATATTAGCCAGTATGGAGGTCCATCTGTTCTAACTCTCGGAATGTTTTCCAAGATATCCATAAACCAAGCATTTGGTGTTGAACTAAAGATTTTTATCATGAGTGCTTTCTTTGTCGCTTTAGAAACATAGGGGTCCTTGTTTGGATTCGTCATTTTTTACCCTATAAGAAATGGGTTTATTTGGCGCATTAGCAGGAGTTGCATCTAGATTTTTACCCGCAGTGGGAACAATAGCCAGAGGTGTATTTGGAGTTGGAAGGAAGATTTTGAGTACATTAGGTATACTTAAAGAGAAAGCACAACCTATTATACAAACTGTACAGAAAGGTTGGGATGTAGCACGAGATGCAACAAATCTTATTCCAAATCCTGAAACAAGAGGAAAAGTTCAAGGATGGATGGACAATGTAGGAAGACAAGCAGGAAACTATTATAACAAAGCAAATGACTACTATAACCAAGCAGGACACTATATGGACCAAGGTGAAAGATTCTTTAACAGAGGATATAACCATGCACAACAGTGGGTAAACAATAACCAACCGCAACCACCTCAAACTTGGAAAATGTAAGGTTTTTTATTGAGATGAAATGAACAATACAGCATTGAGACAAATGAGTTCAAGATGGATTTGTCGACTTCCAGCAGTTACACAACGTGTTTGTCAAGTTCTTCCTATACCTCAGGAAGTTTTAGACCGACTTAAAAAACCTAAACAACCAGTTGAAAACAAACCAAACTAAATTTTTTTACTGAGATGAAATGACCGAAGAAGTTGAAACGGTAGATTTGACACCACAAACAAAAAGTTCAGAACCATTGTCAAAACCTGTCAAAGAACTTACAGATGAAGAGAAAAATTCAATAATAGAAAGTGCCAGGTCTGGAAATACAAACCCTAACTATAAAGTCACTTTTCATAGAAATGGAACGGCTAGTATCTCAAAAAAGAAACAGACTCTCACAAATAAAATATTGAAGTCTGAAGGAGCTTTCGAGACAACAGATGGAAAAGTTTACTTCACTGACCAACAGTTCATTATAGAACATCTCATTGACTTAGAGTCGAAATATTCTAAACTTTACAACAAACACAAAAAGTTGAAAGGAAAACAAAAACAAATGGCATATGATATTTATGAAGATGTTGACGACACAACTGTTCCTGCAAGTGAAGTAAAGTCAGAGGAACCGAAAAGTGACGAAAAACCGATAGAAGAAGAAAAACCAAAAACTGAAGATAAACCAAAACCAAAGTTTAGTTTCCAAACTAAACCAAGTCACCCTTCATTAGCTGGTATGGGTTGGCGTCAAAGACTTATGGCAGCAGGCGGTTATGTAAAGTAAAGAAAAAATATTTTTTTATTTTTATAAAAATGCCCCCATATAGAATGGACAGAAAGTCTGCTAGAATAAAAGCAGAGTTACAAAGATATGGTTGGAGAGTTTCGAAGAATTTTAAATATAGGAAGGGAAGACCCATAAAAGTCTATGACAAATTGTCTGGTCTTCGCTACGAAATGGATTTGGAAACAGCATGTGCCAATTATCCAAACAGACTAGAGAGGTTAGAAGAAGAACGTCTTATGGACATGCCTTTCGATGTTAGTGAACCTCAAGTTGAAGGACACGACGGCTTTGCCAGATTCTACTGGAAACATGACGAACAATTGCATCCTTTGAGAAGGAAAAAAGGAAAAGGTGAAGACGCACATGCTCCCATGGAAAGAACAAGATATGCATATGAAAAGTATCGTGAAGTTAGAAGTCAAATTACATCTGGTCGAACCTTTACAGTAAACTTTGACGAAGGAAAGAACAAAGAAGGCTTCATGGGAGTACTTGCTGCAATTCAAGACGGAAATAAGAAAGGACACAATCTCAGATTGACCATAACAGATTTGGATGGTCACATTTACTATGCACATGGCAATGAACAAACAGCCGCAAAACTTCTTGACGCTTTCAAGACTACAAAGAGAGAACAAATGGTTGACTTCGACTCAGACATTTTGAATGCAATTGAAGGAATTGCAAGTGTCAAGTTCGAATGGTACCAACCTAACCCTCAAGCAGTCAGACAACATGCTGGATACTTCCCCTTCATAAATAAGTCTGACATTGACTTGACAAGGTATGGAATTTACAATTCAATTGAAACAATTGTCAATGAACCTTGTATTCTTACATGTCTCAGGAACTCTGGTCTTGTTACAGATGAGAAGATGAAGTATCTTGAGTCATGTGTGAAGACAAGGTACATTCTCAGAGGTCAATTGGCAAAAATTGCACCGTTGGCAAATGCAATATCCGAGTCAACATACCTACAGCTAAAGGTTCTTCACATGACGACTATGTTGTTGACAAAGACTTACCATGGTTGAAGATTGTAATTGTCCACAACCACTTCATGTTGAACGAAAGTCTTACAAACCCATTCTTTGGTAAAAGTAAGTGCAACATTGTCAGAGCTGTAAACATTCTTTTCGAGAAAGGTTTGTTGGAACCAATTCCAGATGACAAGCTGACAGAAACTTTTGTACCAAAAGACGAAACAAACTTTTCATTGTTAGCAAGACCAAAAGTTGTTCCAGACAAAGTTCTAGTACAAAAGAAGTACACAGTTCCACAAGGGTTGGTATGTTCGGATACCAACCTGAACCAGAAGAACTTCCAATGAGGTTGCAAGAACTTCAAGATGCTTATAAACAAACTTCCATTGAGAGACATCCAATTGACGTCAAATTGTATTGGAGAGCATCTGAGTTAGGTCAGAAGGTTTTATATGAAACAGGTTGCTTCGACGATGTTTATGAGATAACAGGAGAAGTTTCTCAGAAGTAAGAGACTCACTTGAATTTCCACAAACTGGACCAATTGGTTGCGACAAGTTCGACTCAGATGAAAAGATATACTATGTCGACCTTAACGCTGCATACATGAGGTTTGTCCAATATATTCCGACTGGAATTCCAAACGAAGATGGTGAGTTCCCGGGAAGGAACTATACAGTTGGAAAAGTCATACAACAACTGTATGATATTAGGAAAGCTTCAAACCCCAAACTTGCAATGACACTCAAATTGCTTATGACTTCGACATGGGGATATTCCATTAAGAAACCTCAAGAGATGAAGAGTAAACATTATGAGAAGGTCGACAACTTTGTTGAAAGGTTTTCTCCTTTTGTTTTGAAGTACGAATTCACTCAAGTCAAAATGGCTTAGTAACCACATTAAAACCTATTGTCGAACATTGGTCTTACCCTCAGTTCGCAAAGGCAGTCCTTGACGAGTACAACAAATTCTTCTCCGAAGTCAAATCCAAAGTGAAGGTTTACTATGAGAACATTGACGCACTCATGACGAACGAAGAAGGCTATAACAAACTCATTGAAATGGGTTTAGTCGGTGAAAAGATGGGCTGTTTTTAAGCTAGATAAGGTTTTTCCGAAGTTCATGTAATATCGAAAAGGAAATATTGGGCATACTTGAAGACGGCACAGAAATAAAACATTGCATGAAATAAAAAATTTATTTTTTAAAAAGTGAAATTTTTTTATTTTATTTGAAATGTTACGCTGAGTTTGCTTATGTAAACACTAGAGATACAGATGGAAAATACGTTCAAATACTTCTTAACAAATTCAAGAAGCTATATGGCATACCATTTTAAAACAATATATTTTTACATATATTAAATGCTTCAGGTTGAAAAACAAAAGAACAAAAGTAGCAGATACAAAACCGTTGACTATATCTTTACAAATGCTGGTAGGACTATTTCAGATGAAGAAATTTCATCCCGAGCATACAGGTTTGACTATCCAATTCGTGGCTTCAAAGTCCTTCAGATGCAAAGGCAATAGGATTTAGAAGAGTTTTGTTTTCAAATAGAACTAACGCATTTATGTTCGCAGTATATTTTCATGGGCAGTATGAAGGTCCTGATGTCTAATAGACAAATTTGACGAAATGAGAATCTTTACAGTTCGTTCAGACGAAAAGTCTTGAGAAAACTCTAAATGACTTTCAAACTCAAATGAACAAATATATTGGGAATTTCAAGAAAAATACGACTCTTTACTAAATGGAACATACTATCTGAAACTAGAATATGACAAGATGAACTCCACCGTTTTCATTCAAAAGATTGAAATTAACCCTCCAAGAGATACAGAGTTTTTATTTTGGGAAGTAGACAAACGTTCTTGGGCACAATTTCTTCGGTTACTAAACCAGAACGAACCATTACCACCAGATGGTCCATTTAAATTTATACTTCCACCAGCAGATTGATGGATTTATAGAAACGTGTTTGACCCTCAAATGTATATGTGTCATGCAAGTTTCAGTTCAAGCAACAATAGTTTTCTATGTATTGGTAAGGACCTTTATGACTTTGCTTCTAAATTCTACGAACCACCTAGTAACAGTTTCTCTGACTTATCAAGTTTGGTTCACAACAAATGGTGTGCAACATATTATTCCATTGTACTATGACTTTTATCTCGAATTGTCTTTCATATATAACTACGGAAAAGTGCTGAAAAAGTATTGAATGTGAAGATATTTAGAAAATAACATTTTTTCTAACATCGTAGAAAACTCATGAAAACAATTTATTTTTGACACTTTCACAAAAACATAAAAAAAGTGAGTTAAAATGAGATGTTTACTGAACTGGCTGAATGTCGCCTTCTGTAGTTATGTAGAATGGTTGACCAGAGAAGTGAAGGAGACCCTTGAGAATTTGGTTCATCTTGGGAAAGGGTTCTCTCTGTTTGGAAGTAGTATCCAAGGACGCTTGGCAAAGAACTTTATAATGGCTTCCTTCTTTGCTTGCTTTATGTCGTCGTAGGCTGTCCGTCTGGTATTTGAATTGGAATTCCAGTCGAAGTCTCGAGATTCAAGGCAGCCCTTCCCGTTATCCAACCGTTAACAAGCTTGCCTTTTACATTCTGCCTGAGGAAGTCTTTAACAAGCTCGTTAATTTCAATTAGGTAAATTGCCTCGTCGGTAGGTTCGACCTCGACCATTGCTACTGTCAGAAAAAGTACTGCTACTGTCAGAAAAAGTACTGCTACTGTCAGTAAAAGTACTGCTACTGTCAGTAAAAGTACTGCTAGTAGCAGTAAAACTGCTGCTACTGTCAGTAAAAAGGAAAATTTGAGAGGGTTTTCGACGATAAAGTACTGCTACTGTCAGAAAAAGTACTGCTACTGTCAGTAAAAGTACTGCTACTGTCAGAAAAAGTACTGCTACTGTCAGAAAAAGTACTGCTACTGTCAGAAAAAGTACTGCTACTGTCAGAAAAAGTACTGCTACTGTCAGAAAAAGTACTGCTACTGTCAGTAAAAGTACTGCTAGTAGCAGAGATTTTTATCGTTGTGGTCCGACGGTTAAGCCACAAACGAATGTCCGACGTACCACCAACCGAGTCCATTCCCAAACCAGAGGAACCTAAAGAACCACAACAGTCTCCTCAGCAACCTCAGTTCCAGCAAGTACCTCCGAATTACTACCAATTTCCACCTCAAGGTTACTACCCACCACAAGGCTTCCCGAACTACCCTCCTCAGCCTATGCCTTACTGCCCCAACCCTTGGATGTTCCAGCAAGCTCCACCCCAGCAATTCCAATCTCAGTCCAAGAGAGACCAAGACTTCGAAGAAGGTCTGAACCGCTTTACGCAAAGAGTATGCTACAGCTCCAATTGAGAGAAAGTTGTTCCCGGACCAAAAATATAATTTAGGTGAAGAGGTGAGATTTCACCTCTTTTTTCACCTGTTTTTTCACCCTCTTGAATTTTCATGAATTTTATATATTAATGTTTTCGTTATGCCACTTTGTGCCGTCAGTCAGTCAGTCAGTCAGTTTAGGAAAGACTTTAGAAAGTTGTTGGAAAATAAGTCCTGGGAAGAGTATTATAAGGCATTTTGTGAAGAATATAGCAACAGTCTGAATTCAGACGGTTGCTTTTTATACAAAATTCATGCAGGAAATTCTTGAGTTTTGGTTGAAAGAATACGGTGGAGCCAAAAGTGGCTCGACCTCAAAACAAGCATTTTATGAGCTTACTAAGGGCGTTATGAATGAATTCAAAGGTATTTACATACATCCTGACCTCGTTCATTTTGTTGCTGAATTCAGAAAAAATATAATTTAGGTGAAGAGGTGAGATTTCACCTCTTTTTTCACCTGTTTTTTCACCCTCTTGAATTTTCATGAATTTCCTTAAGATAGAAAAAATAAAGTTAGTTTTATTTTTATTTATTTTTTTATTTTGTATGTAAGAACAGATATGTCAACAATCGGCACAACAACAATTCAAACAACTACAGCACCAAACTCGTTAGTCATGAATCCAACATCTATGTTAGTAGAAATGAAAAGCTTCATTCCTTCTTCATATACTTTTGAAACAGAAATCCAGAAGATAAAGCAAGAACTTTTAACAAGTAATTTAGACTGTAGTGCGAAAGATGAAACAAATGAACAGTATCTTTATGAAATGCAGGACATTATTGACCATTTGCCTAAACTACCTGAAATCCAACAACAAAAGCTCACTATTCCTGAATTCGATGAAATTGAAGTCAAAGCAACTGACTCAGTAGAAATAAAGAAGTTCATACGAAAGGTAAATTATGAATTCCTTGGTTTTCATTGCAACCATAAAGTTATGGACAAAGATTGCGACATGGTATATAAGAACATCTCTGACATATATAAATCTGGGAGTTTAAGACATACGACAACTTTGTTTCATTAGCTGCAAAATGTGTATGGCAGATAAGAGATAAAGATAGAAGAGGTAAGGTATGGAATGAACAGAT